GCCCAGCAGGTTGAGGCTGCGGTGGCCAGGAGCGTGCCATTGAACTCCAGTCTGGGTGACAGAGTGAGACTCCAACTCGAAAAAAAAAAAAAATACAGCTGTATTTATAGGATTCGATCTTCAAAAGACAAACAGGAAAGGCAGATGACAGAAAGCAGAGCACAGCCACTACAGTGTGGAGGCGAGGCAAAACAGGGAAAGAAACTGAGCGATGACACAGCACGTGGCCACACGGAGCCCAGAGGCAGGAACTAAGCAGCACTGTGCACAGGACCCGTGTGTCAGTATGCTCTGTGGTCAGGCACCGGGACTTGGTCCGGCAAACCCTTCAAGCTGCAAATGAACCCATGCAATTCTGTGTCATGACACCCTCCCTGTATTTGCCAACCATGCAGAGCAAATGTGCAATAACAAAACACTCATGACAGCAGACCAGCCGGCACCACCTCCTTATAAACTTCTCTGCAGGAGCTGTGGTTGCCTTACTCACTGCAACAACTGCCTGCATGCACACGTGCAGTCACCTGGCCCACGCCGTGCGGGGAATACCCAGAAAAGCAAGAGTCACACGATCTGCAAGAAGTTCAGCATTGGGTGAGGGTGCAGATGAGTAAATCAACGGGAGATAATTGTCAGAAAAGAGAGATGGACGTGGCTTTCCAGCTGCTGTACCTAGAACACTTCTATCTGTTGACTTGGGAGGCGGTTTTGTGACATTGTTAGGAGCAACTCGAGGTTTAAAGCCGCTTGGATTCTTAATCTGCCTCTCCTGGGAAATCTTGGCCAAGGGACTCCATGCTCCATAGACTGTTTTCTATAAGAAAATGGTAGTGATAATAGCACTCATCTCTCGTGTTGAGGAATAAACAAGAGGATGCACGTGAGGTACTTAGCACAGTGCCAGTGATGCTCAGAGATGACTCCTAATTGCCCTCTGCTAGAAACCGAAGCATCTGGAAGGCAGAGTCAACAAGAGCTTTTCATCTTTGCCCTTCCGGTGCCTGGCACATAAAAGGTACCTCGCAATGGTCTGTAGAACAAATGAATTATAATGGATATAACTGTGGCATTTGATCATTGCCAAGGACATTTCTCTTTTCTTTACTCCTTTTCATCCTCGCAATTCCATAAAGGTAGCAGAGCCGACAGTGGGGTCAGCACTTGTCTGATGACAATACTGAGCCTCAGAGAAAGCGAGCATCTCACCTAAGGTCACACAGTCGGTCAGTAGAACAACAAGGAAGGGCATCCCAGCCTGCAAGCCCTGGCCTTCTGGCCTGGACCACTGACGCATATGTGGCCGCAGAGCCCTGGGTCAGTGAAGGGCTGAAACCGACCCGCTCACAGCCTGCACTGGGGTAATAAATGTGGTTTCTGATCCTGACACCTTGGTGTTTCTCGATCATAAAATTCCATTAGCTGGATACGCCTACAAAATACTCACATGTGAGACAAGAGGTGGCTATTTTTAAACTGCATTTCAGACCGTTATGTGTGGGAAGGTGTATTTCTGGTGTGCTGACTGTAATCGCACACCTGTGACGGCTGAGTCATGCTGCGTGCAGTGCTGGCTCTGGAAGGTACGAACCATACAAAGGGATCATGACCTCGTGGTGATTTTCCTGCGGGTGGGGGGGCTACGTGTCAAAGTTTACTCACACATGCTACAACGCTCCACTCTCTGGGGTTGACACCATAACCCAAGAGGGGTGAGAATGCAGAGGCTGGATGTGGCAGGCCCAGATTTGACTATTAGAGCTGCATCTTCATACTTTAAGGGCAGGTACAAAGATCTTCCCGTGACAGGGCACAAGGGGACATAACATAGCACCGAAAACAAAGCCCTACAAAGACAAAAGCACTGGCATGATTCCCAAGCACTGCCTTATTTTCACCTTGACCCAAGGCACGAAAGTGTGTTCGGTCAACATGTGTGTGGACAGGTGCTAGCTTTCTCCCTGGGGTCTGCCTCCCAGGAGTGAAAGACAAGGAATGCCAGAAAGATGACCAGAAAGGAAGGACAGCACAACCTGCTGTTCCCTGCTGGACAGCCTGTCCACTGAGGGGCTTTCTGTGTGGCCCAGTGAAGGTAGATCAGTGAATAAACACACCTGGCAGCTCAGCCAGGTCTCTGGCCATAACTTCTGTGTGCCTCCGGTGTTGCAGCTGCAGTCCTGGGCACCGAGGGACAGGTGAGCAAGAGACAAGGTCCCCATCTAACATGGGGCTTTCTCTCAAGGAAGGGCCAGATAATTCCCAAGGAAATAACATTCAGAGAAGGACAGCACCAGGCAGGGAATTAGGAGCAGCCCAATCACCCAGGGCCAAGCCAAAATTGTATTCAAAGAGCACCTGAAAGCGACGGAGGCTTTCAGCAGAAAAATGAGATAACCCAGGAAATGTTTTAAAATTATCAATCACCTAATTTCATCACTCAACGAACACGTGAGTGCTCAGAACTCTCATTTTTCTGAAGCAAGTGAGCCTCAGGGACATGAGATCATAGTTGTAAAGGTCCCAGAAGCTAGAACTGTCAAGGCCAAGGTCTGAACTCAGCATGCCTGACTACAGTGCTTCACTGCCATATCCTGCCTGTCACTCTACCGGGAGAATTCAAAACAGAAGGGAACAAATGCCACCCCTCACCTCCCACCCAACCCCAGTAAATTTAAGATGAGCAGGGTCTTTCAATTCTTGACTAAAAGCATGGGTAAACGTGAACACTTCCTCTTTTATAAAGTATAATTTCATTTATAGAGAAAGCATTCAAGCCATCAGATGACAGTTCCCTAATTCACTGCACAAAAACTTACACACATCAATTTCAATCTAGCCCCACCTGGGCCTGACTGTTATTTACTCAGGGGATGGAACCCATTCTAAGGTGCTAGAGGCACCCCGGGGTCATGAACGCTGGTTCCTGCTTAAACTTTGAAAGTTCATGTGGTCTTGCAAAACACAAGAATGTCTTGCAGCTGACAGTTGTACACATCCAAATGTTTCTTTTTTTTCTTTTTTTTTTTTTTTTTTTTGAGTTGGAGTCTCACTCTGTCACCCAGACTGGAGTGCAGTGGCCGCTCCCGGCCACCACAGCCTCAACCTGCTGGGCTCCGGTGATCCTTCTGCCTCAGCCTTCCGAGTAGCTGGAACTACAGGTGCTCGCTACCACGCCTGGCTAATTTTTGACTTATTGTAGAGATGAAGTCTCGCCAAGTTGCCCAGGTGGGTCTCGAACCCACGGGCTCAGGCAATCCACTCACCTCAGCCTCCCAAAGCACTGGGATTACAGGCTAAGCCACCGAGCCCAGCTCCAAATGTTTCTTAATAGATATTTTTTTTTAATGAGTATTTGTAAGCCAACCTTTGGATTTCATTAGTGTTAGTTCTGGAAATGTGCTACCTGAATTCTTCTAAACTAAAAATTGTGAAGGTTAAGCAGTCTGAAAGTCCACTGGGTAGGGTCAAGTCTGGGTGAATGCAGGAAGAGCAGAGCTTGGCCCTGAGACCATGAGCTCCCTGGGAAGGAGCCTTGTCGGCTCTTGTCCAGTTCCCAGCACTGGTTCTAGCATGTTAACACCAACCACTGGGGGAATAAGGAGGCCACTCTCCCCCTCAGAAGTCAGTAACCTTGCTAGTCCCCTCAGAGCCAAGAGGGAAAGACCACCTCCCTCCCTAGATAGAGATGGTGCATTTTCAAAAAGGGTTGGGAAACCACACACAGTTACGTAGCAGCTAGGGAAAGAAAACCTCCAATATGGTTCCTGTTACAGAACAGGACAACAGAGATCAAATGCCAAGTTGAGATGGGCTGGATCGGCAGCAACTGGGGCAGGAGGAAAGGGCTGGATCGGCAGCAACTGGGACGGAAGGACAGAGTAACTGTACCCCAAAGATGTCCACATTCTGATCTCTGGAAATTGTCCATATATTAGGTTGCATGGCAAAGAGGAAGGTTGCAAATGGAATGAAGGTTGCTCGAGGTAGGGAGATGATCCTAGGTTATCCAGATGGGCCTGCTGTCATCTCAAGGGTCCCCAAGAGAGGAAGGAGGAATCGCAGAGGGAGAAATGGAGAGATGGTAACACGGACTCAACCTGCCACTGCTGGCTCTGAAGAAGAAAGAGCCGTGCTCAAGGAAAGAGGTGGGCTCTGGAAGCAGGAAAGGAGAAGGAAACAGACCCTCCCTAAGTCCTCCAGAAAGGAGCCCAGGCTTGTGACACCTTTATTTAACCCAATGAGACTCTAATCCTCCAGAACTGTAAGAGAATAAACGTGAATTGTTTAAGAGGCTATGTTTACGATCATTGTTATAGCAGCAACAGGAAACTCGCAACATGGATCAGGGGCTTGCATTGCTTAGGCATGGTCAGGGGACGGAGTTCTAGGAAGAGGGGACCGCTAGAGAAAAGGCCTGGAATCCAGAACTGCAGAGTGTGCAGAGTATGTAGGAAGGGGCTCATTTTCCAAGAGAAAGATCTTGGGACACCTGACAGCAGTGAGAGCCACAGTTACGGTGGCCCTTGAGTCTCAGGGAGGGAGGTCACCTTAGATATGCATGGCCCTAGGAGCCACAAAGGGTTGTCCCTGGGGAGACGCAATGGTGGGGGCCACGGGGCAGCCTGGAAAAAGTGTGTGTGGCAGAGAAAAACACTGGCAAGGAGACAAGTGTGCCACGTCTCTGCACTGTCATGTCTGTAGGTGTTCTGCTTTTTCCTTCTCCCCTTTCCAGACTGAAGGTATGTGTAGGGACAGTGTTCAAGAGGTGGAAAACAGGGTCCAGATACCAGGGACCTCACTTTTACTAACTTCAGTCTCTGGAGAAGACAAGTCCTCCCTGAGTCGCTGGTCTACCATAACACGAGGATGGTTCAGCAGCGCCCTTCCTCACTGCAGGAGTTGGGGCTAATGCATTGACATTCCGTGCATGGTGCCTGACCAAGCTCAAGGAACCATCGCTGCCTCTGTCCCCAGAGTGCAATCAAAATCCTTCCGGGCGGTACCTGGATGTTGAGTCTCCCTCGATGGGCTCCCAGGCCATAGCGCTTGGCAGTGGAGGCGTGGAGCTGGAAGTCTGTGATTTTTAAGGTTTCCAAACCAAGAGGTGGGCAACCTGGAAAGACAATGCTTGTTAAAATCAAGGTCAGATGAGGAAAGAAATGAGTTTCTGATTTTCTAAGTCTGGCATGTGTTTTCTGTTTTCCCCTTGAAGTTCCCCACACTAGTGCAGCCCCCAGCCACTGGCAAGCCGTCTTTCCAGATAGACAGGGTAGATTCCACCGTCAACACGAGGCCAATTTCCTTCCCTGTCAGCTTCGCTTGGGGGGTGCTTTGCTCTGATATTCCCTCTCTGTGGCTGTACATGCTACTGTCTCCGGTTGTTTCCAATTAAGGATCCTTCCACGGTGTGACTCAGGGAGCATCACTGGTTAGAAACCTCAGAATAATCCCACAGTCGAGCTCTGCAAATTAATCAGAATGTGTTGATTTTGCTTCAGCAACTGTGCCCTTTGAATTGTGCATGCTAATGAGCAGAACAATATAACTAGAAAAAAAATCTATTGTTTTTCTGTTCTTGACAAAACTGATAATGTTGAGAACAGCTACTAAATACAGTTTTGCTCCTAGACTAAAACACCAGCACTTGGGAAGACCCTAGTTAAAGCCCACTGTACCTATGGATGAATTAACAGCAGCCGGTCGGAACCTGAGTCTCCTAACTCCTGCTCCAGCCACCCTGCTATTGGGTTGAAATGTTTCAAAGTGAGGCCACCTCCTTAACATCTGACCCTGGAGAAAGCAAACAAACACTCCAGAGTAGACGTGAACAGAAACTATTTCTTCTAGAAGTAATAGAAACTCCCTAATGTAACAGGCAGGTTTACACAACCACGTGGGTCACTGCTGAGGTGATCCCAAAGGTACCCCTGGATGTCCATCCAGGACAAACTCCGCCAGGGAAAAGTTCCCACAGGTCTCGGGGACAGGAGGAGCCTGGGAAGATGACAGCCGCTGGGAGGTCTTTGGGCACCAGGACAAGGAGGTCTGCCAAGAGCTGCAGCCAGAGGAACCCAGATCTGCCAGGGCCTGAGATGCTTCCTAGTCCTCCCCTTGAGTTCTCAGAAAAGGAAACCGACATCCCAGACCTGAGGTGCCCCTGTCTACTGCAGAGCTGGATGTCATGAGATCCTGCTGACAGCTACCAGGAGACTCCTGGGCTGGGAAATGTTTCCCGGCTGCCTGAGTTGTGCGTAGCAAGAGAGGAGCATGGGGAGGCAGGGGACGGTGCCCACCTGCTACCTGTGGGACCCTGCAGAAACAGGGCGGCTTCAGAGGGCACTGTGGCTCACAGTGGCTGGCTTCTGCAAGAGGGAGCCACACAGTGAACGGGACCCATGTAGCACGTCAGAAGCCACGTGAGCAGAGGCCATGCAGTGAATGCAAGAGCCTGCAGGGAATAGGAGGGAGAGGGGACACAGAGAATGGGGGAAGCCACACAGTGAGTAGGAGAGTCATGTGAGCAGAGACTTTGCAGTGAATGGGGAGTGGGAAGGGTCCATAGTGAACAGGAGGGCCAGGCAGGAAGGAGGGCCATTTACGAAGTGAACAGTAGGGTGGGGAGACCATGCAGCAAGCAAGGGACCGTGCACTGAGGGGTGTGTCTGTGCGTCCTTAACCACCCAAGGCAGGCCTCGTGGGGGTAAGCTGGCTGCCATACTCTCTCCCTCACTGGGGTTTGCCCTTGTGCCTTCTGGACCTGGGAGACACACGATTCTGCCTACCCAGTGGCAGTTCCTGGGTCCCCAACGTGCACCGAGTAATTGTGTGTTCTGCCTGCCAGAAACTGACTTCAAGCATCTGACCGAGGGAGATCACGTCTCACAGAGCTCACTCGGATCCACGCTGCCCACCTCCAACAGCCATGCCCTGTCACGGAGGCTTTTTAGACTGCTACAGCAGCCCTGCTCTGCCCCGCTCATGGTCCAGCAGCCTCCACAGCTCAGCCCCAAGCCCAGCTTACAGGGCCCACACCCTGTCACCCTCTAAGAGGGCTGGTGCCCCTCTACTCTGATCCCGGGACGATGGGCATGTTTCCTCAAGTGCTGCTCACTTCTCTGGGCTCCCAGACCCCAGTGGTCACCAGCATCCACCAGAGGCCCTGGCTGGCACTCAGGGCAAGATGTGAGGGTCCAGACCACAAACTCATCAGCCACCTATGCCTTCTGGGGGTCATTCTTCAGCCTGCTCCTTAGAGTCTTGGTTCTGACTCCAGTCTCTAAGGTTCCTTTTTCACCCAGTCTTGGCTTGTCTTGTCTCAGACACAGCCAGCATCCTCAGGAATAACCAGCCTATCCTGAGAGGTCCCACCCACTTGGCCTGGACATCCAAGCTGGCTAGGAAGCAGTTCTGTCAGGTGATTCCTTGTGTCCCGGGAATAGCCTCTATCTCCACTCTGCCAGTGCTGGCTTCAGAGCCCAAGGAACCTGGGGTTTCAGACCCTGACAGGGAAAAAGGCACTGGCCCTGCCCCTCCTGGTGCTCTGTATGGATCTACAACATCGCACATAACCCGCCACAATCAGAAATACAAAGAGGATCTGCTGCTGTTTCGATAAATCTGTTCTACAGCAATGTAGACAGTGTTCCGATCCACCTGGCCCTTCCTTCTTAGTAGATAATGTGGCAGTTGATGGGTTCCATATACTTCATCCAGCTAAGAAATCTCTATATCACTTATATGGTCAGATAGACAGGCAGGCAGATGCACAGATAGACAGCTGGACAGACAGGCAGACACACATGCATATTACTAGCTCAATAAAGCAATGATAATAATTGCATTAAAAGCATTTCTTGCGGAAAAAGAGAACACCTTATACATATATGAACATTGTAATGCAAAAAAAGGAACTACCGGAATAAAATCACCTATTCATCAAAAGTACTTTTTTTGTTGATATATGGAAGCCCGGTCACATTCTCTCACCAAGTGAAAAGAAAGTGCCCACAAGTGAGGTGTTTCACGGGCAAACATCTAATAGCATCTCAAGAGCAATGCCTGCCCTCTCAAGGAGGCCAGACCATCACGTGTGTCACCATCTTAAGAGTGGTGCTTCCTGCAGCTGGCAGCTGCCACGTGTAATGGCCACTCAAGTCCACTCCTGCAATGATATCACAGCATAAGCCGGAAGGTCCACCTCCCCTGTCCACAACACAGACAAAGCCTTTGGTGGAAAGCTCAGAAAATCACATCGGAACTCAGCCTGCTTGAAAACTTGCTCTTACTAGAACCCAACACTCTGACACTAGGATTTTTTTTCCTTATTAGAAGATGCTATCTTTAGAGTCTTTGGTTTTGTTTGGAAGCCTTCTCTATTGTCCGTGCCATTTACAGAGAAGCTAGGCACAGACCCACACAAAGAAAACACAATGTCCTTGAAAGGCAAAGACAGAGCTACTGACCCACATGTATTAGTGAAGACCCTGTGGCTGTAAGAAACCAACAATGGCCGACTTAGGCAGGAAGGGAATCTCCAGAGGGATGTCACAAAGTTCAAAGGACAGGTCAGGACACAGGACAGGTACAGATAGATGGGACCTTGGAGCTCTTGTCATCCAGGTGGCAGAAACCAACAAACCCGTGTGTTGTCAGAGGAATAACCAATTCCAACGGCATTGGTCACCTCCACATCACACCTCTCAGTCTGTTCAACCTCATGTACATCTCTGGAGAAGGCCTGCCTCACCTGCTCACCTGTCTGTCCATTGGGATCAGGGTGCCATTAGCAAAGCAAGGGAACAGATGCCAGGATATCTGAGTACACAACCAACACGGTACATGGGATGGACTTCTGCAGCTGCCTGTCTTGTGTTGAGGGTGACAGCACAGTCCATGCTCAGTTGTGGAGTAATGGGTTCTTCCAGCTTCCTCCTCTCGCTGATCAACCCCAGGAGGGTAATATCCATCTCCACTTCTTTTCCACTTTTCCTTTTCCTGGTTTTTGCATCTGTGCTCTGGTTTCTGTCTCCATTCACAGTGGCCCCAGTCACTCGGTAGCCCTTTTGGACTCCTCATTCTCTTCCCCGACTCTTCTGTAGTGGGCTCTGCAGTTTCCCCCTCTTGGCTGCTCCCCAACTCGCAGATCACCCTTGACCCTGGTTTCCATAACGTAGTGTTTTCCCACTTCTTCTCTTCCTTCTAAGACCAGACTTTCCTCACTCGTTTGGACTTTTCTTTCTGCCACTCTGAGGGAAGCCTGTTCCTCCCCTGCAACATAGGGTGGCCACCCACAGATGGATTCCTTAAGGGAGTCCTCCCTCTCTTCCCCCTTAAGGTCCCACTCTGGGCACCCATACCTCATCTGCAAGGTGTCCCCGGCACCATCTGCACCAACAGGAGTCAAATCATATGTACAGAGTTTAAATTCAGGGCCTGCCTAGTGAGCTTGTTAGGAGACTAGGCTGTTGATGCCAAGGTTTGGTGGCTCATATGGGCTGCAGATGTGAACGCTGCAATTAAAGTACTCAGTCCATGATCTGCAGCTGAAGTAGATATCCCAACCATCTTCCACCCTCTCATCCTCAGTACTTTGTTTCCACGCACTCAGGTGTCAGAAGTCCCAGTAGGGGTCACAGAGATTAGTGTCATCTTCCATAAAGCACTAGTGTCATATTCACTTGGGGAGTTTCTCTCTGTATGATTAATCTTCCATGCTTTATTTTCTCCTTTGAGATCCTCCACCCCATTTTTTCCATCACATGCCTGCTTTAGACTGACAACACCCTGTTTCTGAGCCCATCAGTGCGATGTATCAAGCGTTATTGCATGGCTGCCTGACGCAGGGCACCACACCCTACAATGTGAGATGCTGTCTGGCTCAGATCAAACTATTCAACAAACCGTCATCCCCAAATCACATTCTAAAATATTTTTAAATTAATAAAAAGCTTCAGCATCCAGTTATTGAAACACAAACTCTCTATTCCACATCCCTTTAAGCAAACTATCAGCACGGTAAAAATCCCATGTGGGAATCACGCTGATCCTGGACTCACCTTTATGATTTATGCTGAAAGTTCGATACAGGAATCTCCATATTTAGGAAAAGGAAGG